TGGCATTTCTGGTATAGTTCCAGCTCGGTTCGGCCGTCAGTTTATGAAATTTTCATTAATTTTCGACCACAAGAGATATGATGATGTTGCTGATGGGCCCTTCGGGCTGACAGCGGTACGAAAACTTGACGACACAGCAGTTCTAATGAAATTTGCGACATGTATGACAGGCATGCGAGGCATGAGGGAGAGAGTGCGAGTCAACCCAGCAGGCACAATCAGTTTGAACCCCAGCTATGTGTGTGTGTGTGTGTGTGTGTGTGTGTAGGGCAAAGGGCAACCGGACAAATCGAGCAACTTATGACAGCGTCAAAAAGTATGCTATGATTTGTCGCACGTTAGCTTGGCGAAACAAGCTCCCAATGATGGATGATGACAAATGTAGCCGAGTGCAAAAGTTTTCTGCTAATTATATGATTATCAGAGAGCATCAACAGTTTCTCAATATATTTATATATATATATATATATGCACATTCGTTGGAAATGCCTAGTTATAAAGGACTTTCATTTTGATTTTAATTAGCTGCCGCTCCCCCCCTCAAGTAGGCCAATTCTGGATATGCGTAATCATCATAACAATGGGGCCTGACCCCAGAACCGTCAAGGCCAAACGCCCATGTTGCCTTGTGCCTGAACCTTAGCACACACTCTCTGATATAATTTAGATTTATCGCTTGATTCTCGCATAAATATCGAGCATATCAGACAGCGGGCGGCAGGTGGCGGCGGGGGGAGGTCTGCGAATTAAGGCATCGCCTATTACTCGCACTTTTGTGTGCCCGCTGATGCATAAAGGCAATGGCTTTGAGTGCCATAACGACTTCTAGGTACGAGGTCCATAAGTACATATATCCATATATACATATATATATATATATCCTGAATGTGTGTAGGTGTAGCTGTGTGTGTGTGTGTGTGTGTGTGCTGTAAAAACAAATCGATCGTCAAATAATGTGAAACTGTGTTAAGCTAAGCAAATGATAAATATTGTTATTGATTTGAGGAATTTAAAGGCTTCTCTTGTTGTTTATTGAGTCATAATAATATAATATTATGAAGTAAAAATAATAATAAATTATATACACGGTTAATGCTTAAACATTTTATGGCCGCTTCACAGTAAGCTGAAAAGCCTCGAGAATCGTCCGAGAAACATTTCCCACGCGTTTCTTTATAGTTTGGAAAATGTCAACGTCATTTTTGATGCAGTTCAAGCTTGTTTCGTAACCGTTTCAAAAGCTGCTGGAAACGGTTATAAAGCCGTATATTATTGCGGGACGTATACATCAAAGATTAACATAACAAGATTCATCATTCTGGAAACGTTTCCGTGATATTTCTTTATAGTTTAAAAAACATGAAAATGCAAAGCTTTATAAGCTAAATGCATAAATGATTCATAACCGTTTCAAAGTATCCCCAAATTATGTCTTGTTGCTTGCATAACCGATTCATAACCGCTTCAAAGTATGTCCGTAATGTTTTCCACTAGAAATCTGCTAGAGCAACTTTCCATCTTATCTCAAATTGCTTTTCCGGGAAACTGCGATAGCAACTTTCCATCTTAAACCAAAATGTATCTGTAAAATTGATATCATATCTTCCTCTTCATCTCCTGACAGAGCTGAGGAGGCGCCTTAACACTTGACTGCCCCGACACATTTCTGGCATACCCATTGCGACAGCGGCACAATGGAGACGACAAATACAACATGGCATTTAGCATTAAACAAACAACAAGGTTGGACAGGGGACAGGGGACAGATGACAGGGTGCACTGGGCCGCACAGGGTGGGCACAGGGCGGGGAGGCAGCATAAAAATATATCCCCAAGCTGTCCGAAAAATTAACGCAAAATCAAAGTAAAAATGCGATAAATTGGCGACGACAAGCGCAACGCAACGCGCAAACACAACACAACACACACAATAAAACAATAACAAAAACAACAACAACAGAAAACAACAAAAAAAAAAAAAAAAGAAACAAAAGAAAAACAGTTGGCAACGCTTGCCATGGAATGGCGCGCGCTTTAAATGAGCGAAAATCGGTCGAGCATATCAAATTGAAAAAAACTCCAAGGCAACGCGCTCGCGGGGAACAAGAGCAGCCACACAGGGCGTTGGCGGGGGCGGCGACGAGGTCAGGTTCGATACGCGCAGAGCAGAAAGTCTAAAACCGAGCTGGGGACTGACTGAATGCCGCTTGCTGGATTGTGGGCTGATGCGATTGTGGCGCGTGATGCTTTTTGCGTATCCTAGTGACACACAAATACATATAAGGCGACACGCACACGCACACGCACACACGCACAACAACAACAGCAGCAGCAGCAGCAGCAACAAAATAGAAGAGACATAGAAAAACGGGCAACAATAATCATGCAATGGTAAGGGGAACGGGCTGTCGGGCAGCAGACATTGATTGCTGATGTGGCAGGTTGTTAGGTTACCAACTACGTGAGGGCTGTAGGGGGGAGTGTGGCGAGAGGAAGAGCGGCCTCTATATGAATGACTAAACTAAGCCAAACGCGCTGACCGAGCCCAGCGTCTGGCCCCAGCTGATGGATTGAGCATATTAGGCGAGGATTTAGCTGGCAGGCAACAACATAAAACGAGCGACTTTATCGACCAAAATAAGAGCTCATTGATAATTTTCTTAATTTAAGCAGCTAACAACAAAAACGTGCTAGGCAGCGCAGCTTTACAGTTACTTGAAGAGAATTACTGGGGAAACTGTAAATTCGCTCAAGCAAAGTAACGGCTGCCCTATGCTCTAACTCCCCCCCCCCCCCCCCCCCTCCCTTCAAAAAAAGGAGATTATTCAATAGCTGCTCACATGTTGTTGATCTAACGGTTTTTTGTTTATGCTTTGCACTTTCTTTTTTTTTACCGGCTTCAAGCGATGTTTTCCACGCACTTTTTGTGTGTCGCCGTCGCGTGTTGTTGTTTTTGTAGTTGGCAAAATTGTTGCGTTTCGCATATTAATTTCTTCCTGTCTTCGTCATCATCATCATCATCATCATCATCATCATCATCAACAAGAAGAACGATAACATGCACGTCATTATGATGACAAGCTGTTACTGTATTGTGGCTTGCCCCTTCAGCAGCTCTTTAAGCGCTCTCTTAACGCTCTCTTAGGCGCTCTTATTGGCGCAACCTTCCAGTCGTGTTAAAAAAGGTAACATTGCTGGCATGTGTTTGTGTGTGTGTGTGGGTATTTGTGCTGTGTATTTTTACGTTAATCACACAGTTTGAGTCATGTGCTTAATAAATAAAAATATTTTGTCTGCCGTAACATGAGACGCAAATTCTGAGGCATTTTCCAGTCACAACACAACACATAAAATGCAAAAAGCAAAACAAAGCCAAGTGCAAAATCAGGCATAGCACGTGTTTGCCATTTTCTTGCAACCCGCTCGCTCGCGCAAAATTTTCAGGCTTGCCTGATAATAACACCCCCACCCGATACAGCGACCGCCGCATGCTCCTCACTCTCTCTCTCGGTCTCTCTCAATCGCTCTGTCTCTCTTTTGGTGGACAGGCCAGGCAAGGCAAAGCCCATCCAGCCAGCAGCCAGCAGCCAGTAAGCCCGGCACATGACAGCCACGCGTTCGCTCTCGCGCTCTCCCACTCAGATGCACTACGCTCAACTATACAAAACACCTTACATAGCTAAGGCGAAACTAAACTATGGCCGACTCGCTCGCACTTGTGCCGCTGTTGGGGCCAACAGTGGCTATTGGGAGAGCGGAGAGAGCGCGCGGCAGAGCGTAAGATGCGCGTGCTTCGGCTGCGGCCTGTCCGCACTCGTCGTGCAGTCGTCGCGTCGTGTTGTAGATTTTCCCTTTAGGCCTCTTGTTGTATTTTCCAGCCGCCCGCCGTTTTTCGTTTGGCCAGCCCATGTGCAATGTGCCGCTATTCGTCTCGTCGTTTTACCGTTTCACTGCTCTTCGGTTGTGTTTTTGTTGATGCTCTACAGATTGCACGAGTGTACCACGATTGGCCTGACAGCAATAACTAATTGATGGACCCTTATTATTTTAATTTCAATTAAAATATAGCAAGATCTAGAAAGAACGCTACCTTTAATATTTTTACAAATATTTAAAGAAATATTTGCCAGAAAGTGTGCAAATAAAGGTATTATTTTTGACTGATTTGTCGGGTAATTTATCTTCTATCACAATAGTTAGTTTTATATAATACAAAATAAGCTAAAATAAGCCTAAAGAACTGTATTTGGAGTAATTCTACATGTATTTCATTTATTTCTTATCAGAACTTTTTGATTCGTAGAGCATACGTGACTTCGTGTGCCCTTCGTTTTGGTTTTGTGTTTTTGCTTGTTTTGGTTTGACATCGAACCAGACACAAGCGCACACACATGTTCGATGCTCTCGCCAATAGCCAACGCGTTGCGTTCGGTTCGCAACGTTCGCAGTGTTCGCATCGCGAGCCGAGCGACCAACCCAACCCACCCACACACAGAGACAACGTGTATTTTGTTTACCGTTACTCGTTCGTTGCCGGCTGTTGCGTTCGCTAATGTTCGAATTGGTCGTCAGATTTCAGGCTCGTTTGTTGTAAGTTCGTTCACGACATTCGTTCGGGCGCTCGTGTTCACCGTTTGTTGGTTGTTGGCTCGTCTTTTGGGCACTTCTCGCCATTGTAAGCGCCGTCCTTTTTCAGTATGATATTGAGTTTTGTGTAGTTAAGTCGGAATATTTCGTATAATTCTCGTCGACTGTCGTGTGACATTTGTTCTTCAAACATCAATATAAATATTCAACAAAATAAAATAACAAATTCAACAAATATTTATGAAATAATAGAAAAACAAACAAAATAAATATAATTATAAAATTCGCTTAAATATTTAAAAATTATATCAATTTAATAATCAAATTCGCCAGCCAACCAAAACAAAACAACTTTAACAAACAAACAAAATATAATAAAAAGAGTTTATCAAATACGTTCATCAAAACAAAACAAAACAAAAGAAATACCCAAAGTTTATTATTGTTAAAATTGTAAGCATGGCTCAAACAGAACTTAACGAAACTCCGCTCCGCTCGAGCGCCTCAACTTATGCTGCATTTATTTTTGTCAAATATTTTTATCGAATTGTGTTTCAGCGTTTCAAAAGATTTTCCATTCGACTCTCAAGCATTTGCCACACTTAGTGCCACGTTTTAGTCATGTTTTAACACAATTCTTCTTTCACTAGCTCCCAAAATAAACGGCGGCTAGGATAAACAAAAACCCCGAAATAATTGGAAACAATTTGTAAACAAAACACAGTTAGAACTCGCTCAGATTGATGCTACGCTGTGTTTTTCTTTTTTTTTCAGTTTCTGTTTTAGAATTATCTTGCTTTATTTTTTTTATTTTTGTACAATTTTCCTAGGTAAACAAACACGTAAATTGTTTCACACACGAAAATATTTTCAATTTAAATGTTTTACAAAAAGGCCAAAAAGCCAAATCAGTTTGGAAATCAGATGAACTGAACAAGATTTCTACTTGATTTCGAATATTTTTTGAGCATGCCCGAATTCCGTTTCCATATCCAATTCGATTTTCATTTCGAATTTCCATTTCCATTTCCAGCGACTTTCATTGAAATATTTCGTTTTTGGCCAAATATATTTTGTGTTTTGTGTGCGTGCTCCCAATTTTCGATCTTTTGGCCTGGCCGGCTGAGCACGTTAATTGAATGCTCGCATTGGCCAATTTCATGATATTTGGCCAAGTATTCATTAGCTCTGGCTTTTCCAGCTCTTGCCGCTGACACGGGCTGTTGCTCGCTTTATTATTTTCTCATTCTTGATTTTTGGCATATTATTTCCAGTTTGGCAAAATGTTTTTATGGCCACTTTGATGTGCTGCCCGTCGATTGGCACATTTTGTAAATTTGTTTGGACACTGGCAAACAATTTTCGAAAAATGTTGTGTGTGTGTGTGAGTGTGTGAAATGCTTGAAAAGTTAGTCGAAAAATTTATTAAAGCTGTGCAAGCTGAGTTTCTTTGGGAAAGTAAAATTCTTCAAAGTAGCTCAATTTAGTTATCAATGAAAGCGTTTAAATTAGATATTTGATACAAAATTTGCATTCCTCAGAAAGTTTTATAAATTTCAATTCAATATATTGAAAGTATTTAAATTCAATATTCGTTTAATAGAAGAAAAACTAATAGAATATAATACAATAAAATTTAATAATATTCTAAGGCATTTAAATTAAATATTTTTTAAATAAAATAATATTCTGCTTAACAAAGCCTTAAATTTTACAATTCATTAAATTTAAATATTTGTTAACATTTCAGTTTTCAAGAGCTTTTAATGTTTTCTATATAAAAAGAATGCTAGATATATATTTTTGTGCGTTTTGAAATTGGTTAAAAAAAATTTGGCAAAAATTTGCAGAAATTAAAGCAAATCAAAATATTGTTTCAAATTTTTGACAAGTGCTTTGAAGTATGGATATATTCCAAAATTTATTTGAAGTATAGATACTTAATTAAAGATATTAGAAATTCCATATATATATATTGGAAATTCTAAAATTTAAATTGCAGCTTTAAATATTTATATTCTTAATTCATATTCTAAAATAATATAAAATAAAAACTTTAAGAAAATATTAAAAAATGTTCTGATTAGCTTAAAGAGAATCTCTCGTGTGTGCTTTAAAAATTATCGCACGAATATTTTCAAATATTTATAAATTGAAATGTTGCCTTGGCCTTTTTGTGCATTATTTCAAGCAAATGAGGTATTCAAATGCCACATTCCAAATTTCCAGACAATTAAGCAGTTAATCTTATCGAGAAACTGAATACTTCAAAGCACATTAAAAAACTGTATCGAGTACATTAGAAAATAAAAAAATTCGAATGCCAAATTAACCATGCTTATAAGAGATAGAAACAACAACAACAATAATAATCATAACAATAATTATATTCATTTTTAGAAAGCAAGCAGAAATAAAACAGAACTGTGTGTGTGTGTGTGTGTGTTTAAATACTGGAAAGCGCAGATAAGATAAATCATATACACGCACACAATTGCAAACAACGACAACAACAACAACAAGAAAATATAAATATATATATATATATATATATATATATATGAATTCTGTATCCAACTGAGCGCAACTCAAGTGCAAAAACCAAATCAAAAAAAGTGTTAAAATATATATAATATATATATATATATAAATAATTGGAAAACAAAAAAAGGAAAAACAATAAGCAAGAACTTGAGCAAAGCATAAGAGCAAGAGAAAGTCCAATAGAAAAAGCAACAGCAACAACAACAAATTAAAACAATTTACAACGATAACAAATAAATAAAAAAAAAACACAAAAAATTGCTATTTCTCGCAAAGGCGCAACGTTCAAGAGCAAATCGTTCCATATGGTTCATATTATTGAATTGGTCGGCCAGCCGAAGGTTGAGTTTGCTCAACAAGTTACTGTGAGTACATACAATACATATATACATATATTTGTTAAGTGTGAGTGTGTGTATGCCAAAAATTGAGTGCAAATGAATTTTTACACACACGCAGGCATAGAGAGCCAGAGAGAGAGAGACAGAGAGAGCCTGACTGGGCGACAAATGATAATAAATCTTCTGTCTGCAGTCACGTAACGACAACTTAATACAAATACATGTGTTTGCCTGTGTGTGTGTGTGTGCAGAAAAAAAGGCGACAACAACAACAGCAACCAAAATATTCATTTGCACACACACATACTCAACGACGCACACAAACGCACTTTTTATTATGTTGTTTGGTTGTCGTCTCTCTTTTTTTTTTTTTTTTGGTTTGCGCTTCTCTTTGGCTTTGCCCAACATATTTTGACAATTAATCATTCGGGACTTTGTAAAGTAGGGCGCGCGGGGCAGGCTGCGGGCGCGGGGCAGTCCAAAAATCAGCGCCATGTCTCGCCGCGCTGTGTGTGTAGGTCAATGTGTCTTCTGTGCGTGTGTGTGCGTGTGTGTGTGTGTGTGGGTGGCTTTAAATCCCACTGATTCTTGGCCATTAATGCCACGCAATTTTGCAGCAGGCAACAGCTGTGCGACTTGCTTTGTTACCGTTGTATTTCCCGCTGGCAGCAAGTGCATTGACATCCTTTGTCCTTGAGTACCAAATTCGCCGCTAAAAGTCCACCAATTTGCCACAAAAGTATGCTACAGCTCTGCCCGACAAAGTCTTTAATTTGTGTCCATTCAAATTCTCATATATCTACGCATATGCATTAAATACAATTGTAGGATTCTGCCTTTGTCGCAGAAATAAAGATATAAATGTATTTAAAAAATATAGATAATAATAATAATAATCGTTGAAAATACACAAAATAAATAAATAAATTTAAATATGGAAGGAAATTAAGCAGTTAAAGATATAATTAAAATAAAAATTAAATTAATTAATTTAATGCGTTTCTCTTTTTATAAATGTTATTTTTTGTATTTTCCAACACTAACGTTTGCATTAATTGTTGCAGTATATTTAAATTATGATATTAAAGGTCATAAATAATCAAACCGAGGTGCTTAAAGTATTCCTTATACTCTATTTGTCATCTTTGTCTTACGCAAAAAGGTTGAAAAATGTTTGCTTAAATATTTACTGAAGCTTTGCTTAACACTGAGTATTTCACATATATTATTTAAAGCAATAGACTAAATTGCCTTTAAACTTTTCACAAATATTATATAATTATATCTCATTCTTGCTGTGATATACTTTTCTTTTTAATATCACATATTTGTATTGCAAAAGTTAACTCTTTGGGGTACACATCTTTACTTTACCTATTTATATCTCCCGTTTCCTTATTATTGATTCTTAAAATATTCCACTTACATTTACGTAATATCCCGTTCTATTTATTATCGCATTCAACTCTGCCATATGGCAAATTTGTATCCATAGATCCTGTCGCATTTGCCCGGTTACGTCTTTATGGACTTCGGTCTCTTAAGACTTTCTTAAAGTTGTTGCAAAATATCGAAACTTAAATTCTAATCGGATTTACATTCATTTTTTTTCGTTTCTTTTTATTTTGCTATTTTCTCTTTGCCTCACTCTATTTTACTTTCAGCTGACTGCCTGCGTGTGTGTGTGTGCAAGTGTGTGTGTGAGATGTTGTTACTGTTATTGTTGTCTGCTTGTCACCCTCTTCTTGATTTTATTACAGTCTCTTTAGTTGTCGGTCTCAGCGACTATTGCGTAAATTTCATTGTGTATTTCACTTTTATGGTGGTTGCTTGTGTGTGTGTGTGTGTGTGGGGGGGTGTTGGGCGGGGGGTGGGCGAAAGTGTATGCGTGCGACGTGCGTGCGTCGACTTTGCTGCCGGCGTCGCAGTTGTTCTTTGTTGTGCTTTGTGCGTGCGCCTCGTTTCGTCCCTCTGTTCCACTGACTGTCTGTCTGTCTGTCCGCCTCTTCTGTCTGTCGCGACTCTCTATCCTGTCTGTCCTCTGTTTTACTTTTATCCCTGCCATGGGGATGTTCGATGATTCCATTGCGTTTGCTTATTCTAATGATGACACATGCGTTCTCTGCTCTGGCCTTGCTTATTGGGTTATGTTGTTGTCCTTCGTGTTTTTGTTGTTGTTTCGCTGTTGTCCGCAACTTCTCTCTTTGCGTCTTTCTCGTAACGTGTTCCGCACATTGCTGTTCAATATTTTTGTGCCACTTGTTTTGAATTTTTCTACATTTTGCGCATCCTTTTTATTCTGCTGTCATTGTCGTATCTGTTGTTGTTGTTGCTGTTGTTGTTTCTGTTTCTGTTGTTGTTGTTGTTGTTGGTGCTATTACGTGCGCGCTAAGTTGCTCGTTAAATGCTTAAGTGGAGCAGAGTCGTTGACACAGTTTTCTCTTGCCCATTGCATTTGTATGACTCACACACAGAGCGAGATAGAAAGAGACAGAAAGAGCGAGAACGTGAGCGTGAGAAGCGCAAAGAAGGGCGTCAGTTGGAGAGGGAGCAAGGAAAGTATGCGAACTGTTTTTAAAGTTTTATTTTCGTTTACGAGCAACTTTTCTTTGTTGACTTGCATGCGATTGTTAAGCTTGTGTTGAGCACTGTCATAAGGACAATGCAGGGCAGGACACTCAAATGCTAAAGACCCAAAAATTTATTGTGCAGTTGATAACAAGTCAACTCCATTAAAGTTTCAATACAAACACATAAAAACGTGTATTTTTTACTCTCCACAAAACTTGCTCCCATCGCAAATCCTCAAGACGTCCTCTATCTCGGCCATAAGAGCTGACAGTACACAGACCTTTGTGCACTCCCTAAGTAATTTGTAAAGTACTTTATTTAAGTTCAGATTTGCTCGCAACTGCAACTATTGTCATTTAAATTCTTCTTCTCCTGCTTCTTTTCTGTTTATATAATCGTATTTAGCTCTGGAAAATATTATTTTCCTAAAGTTATGTATATCTCCCCTGTAGTCCGAGTATTTCTCACTTGTTCGAATAATTCTTCTCGATTTTTACCTTTGTCCTTAAGTAAGGTCCAATCTCGAGCCCGCTTTTTTCTTTTGCAAATTTAAGCTGTTTTTACGGCAATTGCTTGTCTTCTATCTTGCGCTCTTCTATTACATTCTCATAAATCGCAGCTGGCAACAAAGTTTTAATTCTATAGCAGCGCCTTCTGCTCTGCTAGTCAACGTAGCCTGCTACAATATTTATGTTTATTAGCCAGGCAATTTGCCGACTTAGGCAATTACCCAGCCAACAAAAGGCGTTGGCGCTTTTCAATATTTATACCCTGGGCTCGGGGGCCATGGTGCTTGGTCCCTGGTTCGAGCACTAATAATATGTAAATGCTTGGCGGCTTACAAAACCAGAAGTCAAAGCATAACAACGACCACAAACCCGTTATTATTATTGTTGCATATGCCAAGGCGTTTTTGCTTGTCGTTTTGTTTTCTCAAGTAATTTGCTAGGCATGTAATTTAATAGCACGGTGGCAACTCTGCACTTGCCATGCAATGGAACAGGAAATCGTTGTGTGTGTCTGAGTGTGTGTGTGTGTGTGTAGTCCCAGCCGTGACAGGAGCTGTTGACGCTGTTGCCTCAGGTGGGACAACCAGGTATGTCAACAGGCAAATTATGCCCAAGGACCGCAGACAATGAAGTCTCTCAAGCCTCAAACCTCAAGCCCTGGCCAGGCCGAACGCTGGCGATTAGTGAAAGCTTTCAGGGGCAGGCAGTTAGGGAAAGTGACTTGGTCGGGCGGGACGGACTCCCCTCGGAGTGCTGCAATTATGAAAGGTTGTGCTAAATTGTGTGGCTAATTGTTGGGCGCTTCAGGACTTGGCTAGCAGGGAAATGCATGATAATTGTCGCCACATGCGAATATTTCTGCTACACGCTTGCAATTCTCAACCAGTTTAAGCTAAAGAGGAATCAAGGCGAAAGGCTGTTTCTGATTGAAATGCAGATAATCTTCTCTATACCTGGGTTTTATATGTGTATTATAAACGAATTTCGATTAGTAGAAAGGTCTCCTTGAATCGAAATATCAAAGTTGAATTACATTTCTGCTTCTTTCAACGAAATGCTAAGTTATTACTGTTATAATTCTGATTAGATATTATTATACCCCTTGCCCCATATTGCATAGTAAATTATTTTAGTTTTTTTTTTCTTTTTTATTAAATTGTTGGCCACGCGACTCGCTCTTTGTTTGGAGGTGACATTTTTATAGCTTTGTTAACAGGCACAGGTTTGGGCTGAGCCACCCCCTGCCATCGCGCACCACCCCCGGCCCCTGCCTGGGCACACGTCCCTTTGTTTTGCTGGGCATGTTTAGCGTTGATTATGCTTTGTGCTAAGCCCGAAAAAAAAACTCACCCTCTGTTCAGCTCTGTCGCCTTCTTATCGCCCGCCCTGCCCCCTTCCGCCCCTGCCACCCAACGGCGAACTGAGGAGCACGGCATTAAAATTACTTGCGTGATTAACGCACACCCTCGACCGTGTCGCCCGTCTCGCTCTGGCAGTCGCTGACTACCCCCCGCTCCTCCCCTGTGCTGTGCTCAGTCTTATCTATGGCTGCCTGGCTTAATTGTGGGTCTTCCATTGGGCTATCGATTGATTTCGATTTCGATTTCCATTTCGATATCGATTTCGATTTGTTTAGTCGCCTGCTGCCGCTCAATTTGATTGGCCAATGAGAAACTTCAAAAAGCTGCACGGCTCATTAGGCATTACACACATGCATAAATATACATGTAAATGTATTTGTAGGTATTTGTATATGTGGGCTGGCATATAACTGTGGGCTAGTATATTTTTAATGACCTTTTGGGCATTTCAGCTTCTGATATATTCAGATATATTTGCCGCTCGCTCGCTCTCTATTGTTTTGTTTGGTTTTGTTTATTGCCGCAACGCTTCAAAAATAGCTGCACAAATGTAAACAAAAGCGCGAAATATTTTCTGACCAGC